TTGATGATACCTTTACTGGTGAAAATGTGGTCGTAATACTTCCCTGATGATACCTTTACTGGTGAAAATGTGGTCGTAATACTTCCCTGATGATACCTTTACTGGTGAAAATGTGGTCGTAATACTTCCCTGATGATACCTTTACTGGTGAAAATGTGGTCGTTATACTTCCCTGATGATGATACCTTTACTGGTGAAAATGTGGTCGCACTAAATGAAATATTTGTGAAACGTATAATTGTCTTTTTTCCCTCAATTTTGTTATCTATAATGCTTATTCTGTTCAAAGTCAAAAAAGTGTCCTAAAAGTCACCTTGTCTTATTTCCTCTCTCACGCTTTTAAATCGAACGATAACCTTCAGTGTATCATTCTGTGAAGAACTCTGTAAATATAAACGTTTATTCCACTGGTTCTAACTATGTTAAAACGAGTTATTTTCAGCCTCCAGTGTTATACCTAGAATATCACTGTACTTGTATAGTCTACTGATCTGAAACACTAAGGCACAAACTCCTGATCTCTACTGTCACGACACCTACAGGTTTTAAAGGTCACCTCGATGTGACACCTACAGGTTTAAAGGTCACCTCGATGTGACACCCGTAGGTTTTAAAGGTCACCTCGATGTGACACCCACACGTTTTAAAGGTCACCTCAATTTCTTGCCACGAACTGTTTACGTTCCTCATTTCAATGATTAAAGCTACAATTCATTTTCAGTATATTTTGTTCTTGTTATTTCAGTTGTGTATAGTACGTAGTTTATGATAAGTTCCTATGCACAAAAATACTCATTCAAGCAAGATTCCGTAATAATTAAAACTTAAATTACAACTGCTGTATTCGAGCGAATGTTATTACGTGTTTACAGCAAGATTATATGGACTTCCTTAAAAGCATTATTAAGTCTACCCTAATGCCGAATGGTTTAACTTTGCTCTAATGAGACTTAAAACCAGATTACAACAGTATTCATTCAACAATAATTTTGGAATAGTTACATTTACACTTCGGAAAGTATTATGATACAACAATAAAAACATTTAAACAAAGAACAATGTGTGAATTCAGAAAATGTCAACTGACAAGAAGATTCACTGGATTACAGCCAATGGAAATTACGGTTCCACGTTTTACGTCATCCTCTAAGTTTCAGTTTCATTTCGAGTTCTGAATCACACAAATCGTCAAGTTTGGAACTGTATTCTTTATGGGAGTGATTTAGCGTTTGGTTCATGTTTAATACTTTGTTCATATGAAGATGAAACCTGTGTTATACGTTTATATTTAGTAATTCGTTCATATGAGATGAAACCTGTGTTATATGTTTATATTCAGTACTTTGTTCAGACGAAGATGAAATCTGTGTTACATGTTTATATTTAGTACTTTGTTCAGACGAAGATGAAACCTGTGTTATATGTTTATATTCAGTACTTTGTTCAGACGAAGATGAAACCTGTATTATATGTTTATATTCAGTACTTTGTTCAGACGAAGATGAAATCTGTGTTATATGTTTATATTCAGTACTTTGTTCAGACGAAGATGAAACCTGTGTTACATGTTTATATTTAGTACTTTGTTGAGACGAAGATGAAACCTGTGTTATGTTTATATTCAGAACTTTGTTCAGACGAAGATGAAACCTGTGTTATGTTTATATTCAGAACTTTGTTCAGACGAAGATGAAACCTGTGTTATGTTTATATTCAGTACTTTGTTCAGATGAAAATGAAACCTGTGTTATACGTTTATATTTAGTAATTCGTTCATATGATGATGAAACCCATGTAATACGTTGATATTGAGTACTTTGTTCAGATGAAGATGAAAACCTGTGTTATGTTTATATTCAGAACTTTGTTCAGACGAATATGAAACCTGTGTTATATGTTTATACTTACTTTGTTCAGATGACAACGAAACCCGTGTTATATATGTTTATATTGAGTACTTTGTTCAGTAATTTAAAACAACTGTCTAACAAACGTTACGTATTATTACTGCTATTTTTAGTATAGTTAGAAATACATCAAGAATCGTTCGTTTTCAAAAGTTTCAAATAACCCAAGGTTATTTGTTTTCTACCTGACACGTAACTCTATAAATTGTGTTTGATTTACTTTTCTTATCTTTGGTGTTAGTTATTACGAATGCTTGCAATATTGTTTCAAATTAATACTAAGCCTAAACGTTTCGCGTACGAATATGGACCATAACTGTTTGAAAACAAAGTGGGAAATTATAAATATACTAGTATAAAAGCCCGTCCAAAATGGCGGGAAACCGTTGTTGAGTGATTCACGAAAATTATAGAATTTAACTAAAACTAATTTGTACCTCCACAATTCACTTACTCTTCACTTATTTCATCAGTCTCGAAGTAATTCTTGAATCATCACATCTTTAGTAAAAACTACGCAGAAAAATGAAATGTTATGAATAAAAGTACGTGTGCACTCTGAAAGAGACTTAAATATCACTCTTCAGCCTTTTCACTGTATTCTAGATCAGGAAGTAGAAAACGTAGTGCGGACATCCCGACACAAATTTTCAACTCATTCGACTGTAGAAAGGATAAAAGATATTTGGTAGTAATAAACATTTATTTTTCTTTATGTTTTAATGCCAAGTAGATAATATATGTGTTAAAATACCAAAATAATATTTATTTATTAACATTTATTCACCACTTAAAACTTTTTAAAACACTGACTCTATAACGTTAGTAATAGTAGGCCTGTTTGTAGATACTAAATTAGGCTACAAATAGGCCTACGATTACTAACGTTATAGAGTTAGTGTTTTAAAAAGTTTTAAGTGATGATTAAATGTTAATAAATAAATATTATTTTGGTATTTTAACATATATATTATCTACTTGGCCTTAAAACATAAAGAAAAATAAACGTTTATGTATTAGGCCTAATGCTTAAATTAGGATAAACGTAACGTAAGGCTTAACTGAAACACTACTTGTTAAATTTTATTTTGCTTTTGGATACAACTCAATGTCATAAAACTTCCGAATTAAACTATTTTGCTGTTATGTCACCGAAGTTATAAAAAATAAAGAATAAAAACAAACATTTCTAACAAATCAACATGAATATTGAGCAATCAACATAAACACCATAGTTGGCCTAAGAACAATCAGGTAATATTTTGTTGCTAAGCGACGATGTATATTGTTAAGCTTTACCAAAAAAGGAGCGTGAAAGTGTTCTCGACAGAGTGACAAAGGGAATAAGCCTTTAATAATTAGTGATTGTTACCCCAAAGTTTTTCTATATTGTTTAGGAACTCGATTTTACTGAAGGCATGAATGTAACAGGCTGAATAACTTCACACAAACAATTGTAAATACTTTTGTTTTTAAATAATGTTATATTTTCGTGCAATAATTTACACGTTAAATGCAACATTCGATTTGTATAGAGAGCAATAGCAGAACTAAGCCTAATACAAGTTTATTTAGTATTTATTATTCTCGTATACATATACAGGTTGGGCCAAAAATTAATGATTTTTATTTGGGATCCTACTCAGATAGCGTATATCATATGGATTTAAGCATCTTTTCAAGGATTTTACGCTATTTAAAACAGGTATTCTCAGAAAAAAAAAAGGTTCTTAAGTAAGAGCCCTTCCATAGCACCACCACCATCTAGTTCATTTTTCAGGGAAAATA